TGTACCAGTACAGAGCAATATGGTGGCATAGGCAGAAGCCAACGGGGTATATTGCCATGCCAGGATCACAAGCAGAGATACACAAACAAAAACAAAATACAGAACTAAGTGTAATAATTAGCATCATGTTGTGTGAGAATAAGAGTCAACAGTGACAAAATGCTTGTATGACAAAAAAGAGAAGCTAACGGTGTCACTTGAAAACAAACTGATGTACATGTACTAGTAGACAAGTGCAGATCCATTCACACCTTGGTGTGTACATTTACATGATACATGTACATGTACATCCCATACCGGTATACTGTAGATAATACATGTACATATAAGTATACCCACAGAATACATGTATGTACATGTACATGTAGCTGAAATTGGTGCCTGACATGGTGAAGGCCTGTGTGTTTGATACCACCTCCATGATTTACTGCCATTTTGAGTGAATTTGTTACTATAACAGTTTTTTTTTATCAAGGTTTGAATGGATCTGCACTTGTTTACATCTACAGTTTGTTTTCAAGTGATAAATCATGGCACTTTATGTCTGACAAAATGTACGTCATGCCCTCTGCATGCCCTCTGCGTAAGTGGCTCTTGACTATCCAATCTTTGCCCAGATCAATAAAAATACTGATGTTCCATCTATGAAGTGCATGTACATGTACGTCAAATTCATTTTTGATTTTTAAAAGCATTCAGTCTGATTTCTGTCTAACTTCTGAAATGGATACATTACTGTAGCTAAATTTAATTTTATATCACTGTATTAAACAATGATTTAAATGTATACATGTAGCTGCTCTTAAGTAAAAATAACAGGATAAAAATCAACTAAAAAGAAGCAGGCACAGAAAAAAAGTGACTTTTATTAACAATGGTGTGAATGTAATGAAAGAGCATACTGTACATGTTTCATCCATATATCAAGGAAAGATCTGATGCCATCATGGCCATTGCATTAACTGTCATCTAGTGCTGGAACTGACTGAATGGACATGCACTGTATACCATACATAGCTGATGCATGTATACGTAGAACACATGTATCGGTAATTGCAAAACTCGACCAGACATTAACTTACCTGGACAACTGTTTCATTCTCACAACTCCTGTGCAGAGTTTTTCAGCTTAATATTTGAATTTTGTATAAATTTCCCAATTTAAACAGAAGTCGAGGGCAGGCAGCAGATACCGGTATGATCACGCTCTGTGTATACAAGTGTTAAATTTGGGCACAAATTTCAGCTGTTTATTTCCAGAAACGGGTGTTTACTGTGCAATGTGAGTAAACGCTGCAGACAACTCAAACGCAAATTTGAAACAAAAGTTGAAATTAAGTGCACGCACTTTTGAATGGCCCAAACAAAAATGAACAAAAATAAAGGCAAATAATTTTGGTCAGTAAGCTTAAAACAGCACATCTATAAGGATTAAAGCATACATGTATCGTGGTTTATTCAAGAAATGTATCAGTACACCTGCATCACAGAAAAAGTTGTCTGAGATCACCAAGCGCTTCATCAACGATACTCAACATCGCTCACAAACTGTATGCATTATAATCTGACCGCTGCTGTTTGCGAACCACATCCATCTCTGGGAAACTTGTTTTCATTTGACCAATTACGTGAACAAGCCCTACATGTACCTGAGCGAGCGGATGTTTTCACCCGGCTAAGTCCAGAATAAACACTATTTGTCGGAGGCTCACTCTCCTTACAAGGACTGTCCCTTGTTCCTATGTGAAGGGGCCCGTCCTGAGATACAGGAACCTCAGACTGAATAGCTTATTACGTCAATCGCTCGAAGGGTTAATTTCACTTACCCAGCGGGCTGAACAAGATGGGCAAATAAGACTTGGGCGGCGCCGTCATCTCCATTTGAAAATTCAGAGAGGCTGACTCCCCAGTGTAGCCGGCCATTTTTCATGAAGAGCCCTCTTGGTAGCCAACAAAAACATGCAACGTATATGCTGGTGGCTTACCTACCGGTCCGTGTAGCTGTCCTTCTTAAAGCTGCACACTTCAACATTTACATGTACATTTTACATCCGTACCAGTAGAGTTGTCAGAATTCAGAAATTCACACATAAAGCCTTTAAGTACAGTAGCTTGGTTTTTGCCAGCTGAAATATCAACAAGTATTGAATTACGTTCATGTACATGCACGTGCAAGGCTTCCATGTGAAAATCTTGTCACAATTTCGAAATGTTTGGGTCTGACAAATCTGGTGTACGTACTCAATGCTCCAGCTGATATCCTTATAAAATGAATCACTGTACACACATGTACCAGTAGCTCCAACTCAGGAAGCAATGATACCAGACAAAGAGAGTAGCCGATAAAAATAACAGGCAGGATTCTACCTGCATAATTCAAACTACATTTTTTATTCAGACAATATGAATATTCAAAAAAACCTTCTAATCAAACATTGTGCCAACTGCATCAATTGTTTCCTAGCACCTTGGACATGTGCTGGACCCAGCAAAGATTTAAGCAGATCAAAACCTGCCACTCTCGGGGAAGTATATGTATACATTTCTCGTATTATTTTGATCACAGAGCTTACTGGTACATGTACCATTAGATCACAGAGCAAGGAGTAGAGGAACGGTACATTGTAAATTGTTTGATTCAACCTGTAAAGATGGGACATCTATATTGTACAGTACGTTAAACTTGGAAAGTGCTGACAACACAATGTCTATAATATGCACACCTTACTGGTTTACCGAACATTGAGACGGGCTTCGCTGACAGGATATTGCAGGGCTGTGTGCATGGAGTGTTGGATTGCAGGTTTTGGCTCAGGTGACAATGTACACAATTCATTTTTCCACTGTTCCTGATGGGGGAAGGGGGGGCGCATGCGTACACATACACATGTACCCGGTACATGTACCAGTACATTTACAAATTACATGCAGGAGCGGTTTCTTTTAAATACCGAAGCACAAGTACACGTACATGTACATATGCGTCAGAAGTTTTCGGGGCAGAAATGTTTGATCTTGTTTCCTGATTCTAGCATAATTATTCAGTGTAAATGTAATCTGTTGAGGGGTGACGCAATTTTGATTCTAAGCCTCACATTCAGTTTTCTTTTTTAAATAAGGGAATACTGGTAAATTTGTGCTTGGCCAGTCTTAAATGTGCGATTACATGTAAGAACGTTGCAAGCAATCCAACCTTTGTATCAATGCTTGCACGTACATGCATGTTTAATACGTGCACAAATCAGCAATATTTATCAACCCAACTTTCTGCACCAATTCAAGACGTCCCCATTTTCTATACTGATAAATATGCAATGTACATTTATAGGGATCCGGTACCTGTATGGTACAAGGGGCATCTCATGGAGTTCAATATTGCACATTACTGAGAGAAAAAACTGCTGTAAAAGATTCTGCTCAACAGCATCGACTTTCAGCCAACACACATACATTAGGGTATAGTAAATTTCAAAAAAGCTTGAATTTTAAGTTCTGAATAGGCTAGAATGATGTCCCGGCGATATTTACATGTAAGACCTACCGCGTTAAAAAAAAATTTCAACTTTGCCCAACCTAAAAATAGATTCAAAATTCACTATACCCTAATGTACATGTACATGTACATTAGGCAATCGTTTTTATTCAGTTTTGTTCCAGTATCCAGAGAATATCAAGAGCACAAGTACATGTACATTTACAGGCATGACTCTCACCACTTCCAGCTCGGAGGACGGCAGGTCAACGTCAGCCTCAGGCCGTACGGCGAAAGGTACTGAAACTGTCAGTGCAATGAATACCTGCCCATACCTTGCTGCATCACAACAAACGGCACACACTCCAGTAGACAGTGCACGTAGCTACAGAGCCCTTTAGTCATGCGGTGTGCAGTTCGGCGACGCACCACTGACAGCCAGGTGTGCCATGAGGTATCTGTTAACTCTCGGGGGAAAACCGCTGCACAGGATGTTAAGGTTTAAGGGGCTGGGGCAGCGGAGAACGAGGCCTGCGTCATGAAATGTTTATTCCACGGAATGTTTACTCCATTTTGTACGAGTAGTCAGTGAGTCAGACTGGGCCAGCCCATTTAAATGGTTCATCACATTGGCAGGTGCGACAAAGGAGACTTGTCTTCTCTTAAAATGTCAATTTTGATTGTAATAAAAACTAATAAATAATCTTAATGGAAAAAAAAACAACCAACCTTGGAAATAGTACATGTATTTTCATACAAGAACATTAAAATGTACACGTGTACGATACATTTGGCAGCTAGTATCTGTGGATTTTTGCCTTGGGCAAATGTGTTTATCGGGTAGGCACAGTCCTTCAATGTGAAGAAAGTCATGGACATCAGACTCCACCCATACTGCACCGGGGGTACTTCCTTACAAAAATCCCCCCAGAGCCATGTATCAGAGAAGAAAGGTGACTGACTGGTGGTAAACTGATGAACCGTTGGCCGCACAATCAACCAGTCTTGCAGCACCAGTGACATATGATGAAGATCTACATGTACAGCTATCGCAACCGCAAGATGCTATCCAAGATATTACTAAGAATGATTTGCCATTTGCTGTAAGTACGGTACTGTTTGTTGTGAGAGGGACCCTAATGAGTTGGACTCCTTGGACTGAATTTTCAACAGCAATGAGAGAAACTAGGGACGATGATATTTGTAGTCCACAAAAAAACTGAGTATGGAACGTTCTGGACCCTGAGTTTGTTCAAAAGGAGGTACAGCTCTATGGGTTGCAATGGGGAAAAATACTCATTTAGTACTGTCTAGCAGACTGAAAAACCATTAACAGATGAGGGTCCAATTGGAAGCATTTCATGGCAATTTTTAATTTTCTGACAATTTTCATCCCCTTTTCCTCTTTCTATACCTTTTTCTTCTTTTTCTCCCACAAGTTTCCCAGAGTGCAACGTCAATGATTCTGTAACTTTTTTAGTTGCTAGAGATAAATATATGATTTAACACAATTTCTGTTTGTACTTACCCTCAGACAGCTGGATAAAACTCACAGCACCGTCCAAACTTATCGTAAAAAGACTTAGCAGAAACACTCCAGTAGTGCTTTCCACTTTTCAGAATTTAACATTGCGGCAGACAAAGATTTCGCCTCCAACCCAGTGGCAGACAGAAAGCCAGAATCTTGTCTACCTTGCTACGTGCATCACTGCAGGTTTCCCTGACCACTGAACTGCCCCGTCTGGAAGTAAGGAAGGAAGATCCGGTTGTCAGAAGTTAGACCTCAACCCTCCCCCCCTTGATCCCCTTTCAGTGTTTATCAACAAAGACCCAGCCCGCTGAGTCACCCTGCCGGTGACCTTGGCATCCAGCCAAAGGAACTGGGTCCAACACCACCCCCTCCCTACCCTGATCGAACCTCAATCCCCTGTCACCGCTTAGCTCCAAGCAGTGACTCAGGGAAAAGATCCCCCCTCCTGTCCCGACAGGATACATTCAGCAAGTACCCTTCCCTGAATCATATGCTTTTCTCTCTTTTTTTCCCCCCCAGAAATTTTTTCCAAGGGTTGGAGCCTCGGATGTGATGAAATTTGACAATTTCCTGTAGCAGCCAGTACAATAGTGCTCAGGGAATGACAGCTGACTTGTCCACCAAAAAATCGACTCCTGTCAAAAGTTCTGCCTTTGGGTAGCCCTTTTCGCTATTGATTGGTTTACATGACCAGAGCACTGGTGCAAAAGGAAAAAAGAGAGAAGAAAAGAAAAGAAATAGGAACAAGGGATGAAAACACCTAAGAAGGTTGGGGAAAACAAATTTTGCACAGAGGAAAGAAAAAACTGCAGATGGGTGGCTAACAAATTCTGCACAGAGGAAAGAAAAAGATGCTGGTAGGTAGCAATCCACCATGAGAGCATTGCAAATAGGCCTTCCATGTGAGAGTCTTACAAGTGCAAGAGTGGCATTGGAAGGTCAAAAGGTCACATACTCTCCAAGCAATCACATCTGGATGTTAATTATATCCATCTCCCAGTAGTGTAAGCTAAACGGTAAAATACGTACACCTGTGGGCATACATGTACCCTACATGTACTTCCCCTTGGCAATGTCATGTGAGGCTACATGTAGGATTCTTTTATGACACACCATGTTCTACCTGTTCATGTATGCATGGGTTTTTGTCAATCAATTGCCTTTTTTGTTGATGTAAAGGGCGGGGCCACAAAATAAAACAAACAGGTCCCAAATCAATTCAGGACAGTAAACAAATGTAAGGTCAGGCTCCTGGTGTCCTTGGAACTAGTGCACAAAGGGCATGTTTTGGGGGCGATTATTAGTGCTGAAATGGCACAAGATAAATATTTCAATTTCTTCCTGCATATACATGTACATGTATCGGCATGGTACATACATGTACATTACATGGGCTGGTACATGCACATACTGACATCAGAACACAATGCCAACAGAGTGCAAAATACTTCAAACTAATAGTTCACCCATTAGAATCAATAATGCTTTAAGTCATGAAGGAGGGTGGAGTTGGGGTAAAGTACATGTGGGTAATTTTAGAAATTAGGGGTCCAGAAGTGTGATATTTTCCTGTTCCTGTTACGGTATGTACATCTGACCTTTGTTATTTGACATGGAAATACCACTGAAATTGATTTAAAATTACATGTATTATTGCTGGTTCGGCATGTACAATATACATATAAAACTTGCATTAAATTCATCGCTTTTAGAAATTAGAAAATGTGTTCTGAACTTACAAAATCCTACATGTATGTCATGTGAGCCAGGGACACAACACAAATTTGGACCCTTAATTTCTGGAATAACCCATGTACTAGTACAATATGTACCGTTACCTATCATACGGCTCTGTAAGTGAATACATGTACACGTACATGTACATGTCCAGTCTACAGTATATACTGTACTGAAATGAACACCTGAATTGTGCCTACATGTACACACCTTGTTTGATTTAAAAAAAACAAAAAAACCTGCTGTTTTGACCAACTTCAATACTGTGTTGAGCTCTCACTCAAGCTACATGTACATACATGGGTACGATTGAACATACACATACATGTACATGTATGTACATGTACTGCTACATTCAGGATTTGAATTTTAGAATCTCTAAGTCAGGCCAGCGGGTGGGGATTATGAGCTTGACCATCTGGAGCCTGAACCTTAATCCTCCTCTTTTAAACTTTTAAAGTTTACAAGCGACCCAACACTCATTTATTCCCTTTCATCCATGTAAACCATAAATGTACCTTTTGGGATGAAAAAGTGAAAGTACATGTACATGTACATGAGAGTTAATAATTCACAAACAATTCCCAAGGATTTTACTCATCAGTTTCGCCTCATGTTTCGTGAAACATTCCTATAGCATTATCAATGGTCTATGTGCCTCATATACGCTGTACACGGTACTTAAAACCTCAATACATGGCAATTGACATGCATGTGTAATGAGCATCTTTTAAAAGTCACCCATGTCATGGCCTCTCATGCTCAGGTACTGGTATGTACATGTAACTTAATTCACCTGTAGAGTACACTGTATATAACTTCTACCGTACCGGGAGGAAAACATCTTCCACACAAATTGAATGCAAGAGTTCACATTGAATTCCACTGCAGTACACACATGTACATTTACTCTATGGATTAATTATATTGAGAAAACATTCATGCACTGCAATTCCAAACCATCAGAATTAAATCGCTGAGCCACTACCTGCAACAACTACTCACATTTGTATTGTCTCACCAGACACAGGAAAACAACTTTCTAAAAAAAAAAAGAAAAAAAACCCTCTCCGAGAGAGATTAGTTTGGACACACCTTGGCGCGTAATGCAGACCAGCACTACATGTATCATACTGTACATGTACATGTACCTTACAACATACATGGACCTCCCCTTGAATAAGGTCAATTCATAGGAGCATACTGGGGTAGGGAAAATTTGAACCAAGTTAAAATGTCCCCACAACCTTTTCGGTCCCCACAAAATGCATACGTACAGTTAGTTGAAATGTTGAGAGTACAATGTACCGGTACATGTATGTCCCCACAACTTCGGTGCGGGAGTATGAGTACATGTACAGTGTGTGACCTCATGGACTCTTTCACTCCATCAGTCAGTCACTATAACAATTGCTGTCCTTTCCTGACCTCAACCAGGATCTTACTTGATCTCTTTGAACATACACGTACAAATGTACCGGTACATGTAAATGGATCATTCTATTTATGTGGGGTCCAACTTGGGACATTTCTTTGACCCTGTCACACCTGACTTGTATTTAACAAGGGATACTTACATGTACCAGTATGTACTTGTACATCATCGAAATTGACTTTTAACTGTTCTTACTGGTACATGCACTGGTATATGCCTGGCTGGTAATTTGAATTACTTGATTGGAAATTAAAGATTATGCACTTAACATTATATTGCGAAAAACACCCTCGTTTACAAGATTGATCTTACCTACATGTACTTGCTAAATTCTGCCATTGGTCAACATTCTCTTCTCATGAACAAAGATGAATACATGAACCCCTATATTCACAGTTTTAACACAAAATATGATCACAGACACACTTTCCTTCCACATGTACCTGTATGTACATGTACAATGTAGCGCTCCCTACTGGTACGTACAGTACACGTACTTGGTACTTGTCACTCTTTCAAAGAAATTGTTGTTTTTTTTCCCAGAAAACTAAATGTACATATACATGTGCACAGAAAAGAAGTAAAGAAAAAATACATGTGCCAGTACATCTACCGGTACATGTAATGTACGTACATGACATGAATACATGTACTTGTGCATGTATTGATGCTGGCACGTTTGACGTCATTAGCAACATAGAGTACTTGTTACTCAAGCCATTTGATTCCTAAATGTAAAAGGTCCTGTAACTGATGTTGCTGATTTGGCAGTAGTTATGTACATACATCAGGAAACGACCCAATTACAATTACAGTAGAGTATCTCTTTCCCAATAACGACAATCGCAATGAAGATGGCTCAGGGACTAAAACAAGCTGACAGAATGGAATGAAGTATATCGGTGATAATCCAGGCGACGAGATGGCATCCCTGTTTACAATCAACAAGCAGCCTCTTCACGTCGTAATGAATAAGTAAAGGTGAATGAAATTGACTGGAATTGCACCATAGTTTACGAGGGAGCACCCGACCGGCCACATGCGTCATCAACATGTTTGTGGGGAGGATGGAGAAGAGAGATGAGGAGAATGGAAAGGGACAGGGGAGAGAACTACATGTAAGGAGATGTTACTGCAACAATTGCCTAAGCACAATTCTACATGTACTGGTAGATGAGAAATTTGTCATCATTGCACTTGTCAGTGAAAAAAAAATCTACACAACGGTCTCCAGTGAATTTATTCACTGGCTGTCTCTGATAATGACGAGGCTTGGTGTGTCTTGCACAAAGCCCAACGAATCAAACTCTACCCTGGATCCCCTACATGTACATGTATGTACATGCACGTTTCTCATGTACCCCGGTAACTTTCAGTGCAAAAGCAAAAATTCGCCCCCGTCAGGTAATTACATGTATGCCTGCTTGTGTGTATTACAATCTAATGGATCCTTGTTGACTGCTCAGATCTGCAAGCATGTACATGTACCGTAAATGCATGGTCCATGAATTTATGTATGTACACATACATATACCAGACCTGCCGAGTTTCATAAATTCCAATGCGTGAGATTGTTTTGTCTGATTGAAACCCACGTCCATTATAATGCATAATCATATCGTGACGTCATAATTTAAATAAAATATTCATGGTGACATCATCAAAACCAAATGAAAGTTAATGCATGAAATGCTTGGGATCTCTTCGGGCTTGTTAAAATTCTTTTTAAAAAATCGCAAAACTAAATCACATTACGATGTTTTCAACTGTGTCGTGAAAATGACGTTTTCTAGTTAACATTTACACAAAATGTCAATGACAAAATTTGGAAAAAGTTTGAGTGCATGGCCCATGTACTACATGTACATTCTACAGCACCCGTCCACAACAGAATGGAAAATTTATAGCGCGGCAGTACAGCATGCGTTGCCTATCTATTTATACTATATCTGGATCTGTTGTTTAGACCTAGGTCTAGGTCTTCACTCTACGCGAAGACGCTGAGAAAATAGACCTAGCCAAAGCTCTAGAAGCCAGT